CCGTAAAGCATTGTCCCAGGAACCGCTTACTGGAAATTTCCACCATTATGGAGTGACCAAAGCGGTACATCTTTTATAAACACACAATATTCATTTAAATACTGCTGTGTTCTAGGACTTTATACAGTACGCGCCGCTGTAAAGACACTAAGTCTATCCCTCACAGACTTGTTTTCTTCCGTGTTAAATTCAATATGATGCCTAACCTGATTACGGTCTATAAACTCTTCCTCTTTGTCAGGCATTCATGGGAAATGAGAAATTAAGTGGCTTCTTTTCAGTGCTCTCCACAAACATAACACAAAATGGCCTTGAGTTTGTTTCTACCGTGGAAGGTAACAAAACCAGAGACTTTTCACATTTAAAACAACCCTATACAAGCACCCATACACAGTGTGGATGAAATATTATTGGCAGGAAGCACCCTTTCTACGGGGTACAGTGGCATCCAGCAGTGAACCGCTTTCATATATATATATATATAATGTCTCTAATGTCCATTTGCACATTTGTTTCCATTAACAGAGGCTTCATCCAGTCGTATGTTTACCAACTTCCCATCTGACGTCCGTAAAGCATTGTCCCAGGAACCGCTTACTGGAAATTTCCACCATTATGGAGTGACCAAAGCGGTACATCTTTTATAAACACACAATATTCATTTAAATACTGCTGTGTTCTAGGACTTTATACAGTACGCGCCGCTGTAAAGACACTAAGTCTATCCCTCACAGACTTGTTTTCTTCCGTGTTAAATTCAATATGATGCCTAACCTGATTACGGTCTATAAACTCTTCCTCTTTGTCAGGCATTCATGGGAAATGAGAAATTAAGTGGCTTCTTTTCAGTGCTCTCCACAAACATAACACAAAATGGCCTTGAGTTTGTTTCTACCGTGGAAGGTAACAAAACCAGAGACTTTTCACATTTAAAACAACCCTATACAAGCACCCATACACAGTGTGGATGAAATATTATTGGCCTGCAGGCAGGAAGCACCCTTTCTATGGGGTACAGTGGCATCCAGCAGTGAGCCGCTTTCGGTGGGACCCTCGTTACAACTTTCATCATTCGAGCAATGCTGTGCGAGTGTCATCCTTACTGGCTGAATTCTTTGTAAATGAGGGTAATTACAGTCTCATACTTTACTTATTTATGTGTTTGCTTGTCCCTCATTTGTATGAATTTGGATGAACAAATGCATGTGTGTGTTTGCAGGAAGGAGAAGCTCCCAGCAGCGCGCTCATATACAACTACAACCCTGTGTATATGGCAAATATCTCTGCATATGAACAATCTTATTTCTTCTGAGGGACACAATATAGGAGGACACTGAGAAAGACAAAGAAAGAAAACACCTGTCAAGATATTTCAGACAAATGTACTGTAATAAACCTCATCACGGACCTCATCTCATTTTAGGAATATTGTTTTTAACTGAGAGACTATTTAAATAATACGTGCTTTATTAAATGATTTTGGATTTATTATAACACTCATTCATTATGAAGATGATTACTTATTTCATTCCTTCAAAGAGAACATTGTCTATATGCATGCTTTTAAATGACACATTACTAAAGAGCAAAGGCACGTTATGTGCCAGAAGAGGGCAGTATTGTCATGTTTTTAAAAAAATCAGTTTTTCCCCTCATGTTGTTTTCTAAAATAGTCTAGGATTTTTTTTTACAACAAATATATATATAAACAGATTTATGTATATTTTACAGCATTACAGTAGCCTATATTAATGTACATATACAGTATATTAGTAGTAATAATAATAATATATATAACTGTGTATATATATGCTTAATATATATTATAATATGAAATGTAATAAAGATTTCCCATCTACAAACCAAGTGTTATTCCTGAATAATATTAATTCTTTACTTGATCTTAAGTGTGCACGAAGACCTTTATCACATTTAAAACAACAGATTTACTCAAGGTACTCTACAAATCATGAAATATCAATACAACTATAAAATTTTCATATCTTCAAAGGCTAAAAAAATGCTTTAATAATAATTGAAAAACAAAGAAATGAGCGCTGTGGAAACCAGTCAACCCCCTGTAGACCTTATCTTGGCACCACATTGTATCCACACTGGTTTGAGACATTTTGAAAAACAATTATTACTTCAAAGAAGTTTTACCGAATGACTAAAAATGTCAAGTGGTGTAACCTTCATATACTACTAACCATGTTCACGTGAATAGACACATTTTCAAATGTGCTTTTCGAGGCATTTTTATTTACAACTATCATACATTTTGAGTCATGAATATCTAATAATAATAACAAAAATAATGTGTTTTTTGAACATTAAAGCATGTCAACATATTCTGTTACACCAAATACACAAAATAATGATCTTTAAAATAGCATCATATGACCCCTTTAAGTTTTCTTGGGGTTACTTCATTTGACTTTCATTAAAAGGTCAAAATATATAATATATTTTTTAGCAAACCTAATGACCTTGACATGCAGTGATTGGTCTAAAGGGATCTGTTTTATGGTTTTATTGTCATGTTAGTTGCACCACACTGACTTTGATTTGGCAGACAAAATTAATATTAGTAAATGATGGTTCATATATGATTCATTTGTTATGATAAATACATGAATGATGCCAACAAACAATATAATCAAATAATAACATTGCTAATAATTTAAAAACGTATCATTATTTGAAACTTTTTTTTATCACTGAACAGATGTATTTAAGCATTTTTATAACTGTATTTTAATTAGTGCTGTCAAATGATTAATCGCATCCAAAGTAAAAGTTTTTGTTCACATAATATATGTGTGTGTACTCTGTATATTTATTATGTATATATAAATACACACACATGCATGCATATATTTAAGAATAATATGCTATGTTTATATATTAAATATAATTATATAATATAAATTATATGAATATAAATGTATACATGTAAATATTCTCAAAATATATACTGTATGTGTTTGTATTTATAGATACATAATAAATATACACAGTACACATACATATATTATGTGAACAAAAACTTTTATTTTGGATGCGATTAATCGCGATTAATCGTTTGCAGGACTAATTTTAATGCATTTTTGAATAGCTTAGAAGATACAGACAAAAGTGTCTTATTATTGACCCATACGCAATATCTATTTTCATATGATACAAAGGTTCATTTTAGTCACTCTCCAACAGTTATATACACAAACAATTTATTAAAGGAGCCTAGATTGATTGACAGCTTGTTGTCACCTCAAACTGACTTTTAATGATTTTGACATTTAAAGGGACAATCAGCTTGATAGAACGGATATCTCAATAGATTAGTAATGCTGTGGCATTCATCTGATTATCCTTTTAGATCTGATACAGATCTACATCTCATTCTATCTAGATTCTTGTGATTCATTGAGAGCTGTTAAACAATTTCGATCACACCCTTGTTTCATATTTATAGGTCATTCCATATTTGTCTTGAAAGCGCTTCACGGATGAGAGCCCTCTATAATCTCGTGGGCTTGTTAATATTTCATGTAAAACTCTGAAATGCACATTTTGGCCCTGCTTTATGTAAAAAAGCCACCATTTTATTATTATACAGTCAAACGTGACCAATACAATCTTGTATCCTTTTGTGTTCCACAGAAGAAGGAAAGAAGATAAATAATGACAGAATTGTAATTTCTGAGTGAATACTTATTTTAATGGCGATTAAACATTGAAGGTAAAAAATGTGTACTTACTTGATAACAATTATCAATAATGTTAAGGTATTAATGGATTTAGATTAATTGAATATGTGTCTATGTTGCTGCATCTTTTTGATATCAGACAGAGAGCAGGAAGCACCCATCTTTTTCACACCAGCATCATCGTCTCTATATAGGTCAGCAGCTTTGCAAAGAGCTCTGCTGGCAAATGTGTGGTTTGTTTAAGGGTCGGGTTTGCCAACACAGAAAGCACAGTTCAAATCCCAAGAAGGGGTGACTCAACCCTGCTTTATCAGTTAGAGACTCCTCACCATGAGGTTGCTCCTGCGGGACGGCCTCCGCAAATGGCTTTCTGTTACTGAAGCAAATGTGTCTGTTAAATGGCAAGCATCTCTAGTGACCTAGTTTGTACATTTATACGCCTCCTTGTGTATGTCTCTTCCAAACACCCCCTCATCTCACCTCCTGCTTGATTTTTTTTTTATTTATGTTGTATCGCGAACAGTACAACCTCTTGTGAAAAAGAAGGGCGCTTAATTGTATCGAATGTGCACTTGTAGTATATCAGTTAGAGACTCCTCACCATGAGGTTGCTCCTGCGGGACGGCCTCCGCAAATGGCTTTCTGTTACTGAAGCAAATGTGTCTGTTAAATGGCAAGCATCTCTAGTGACCTAGTTTGTACATTTATACGCCTCCTTGTGTATGTCTCTTCCAAACACCCCCTCATCTCACCTCCTGCTTGATTTTTTTATTTATTTATGTTGTATCGCGAACAGTACAACCTCTTGTGAAAAAGAAGGGCGCTTAATTGTATCGAATGTGCACTTGTAGTTTACTTCAAAGTTTATATATATTTAAATAAATGGCATCTTAATAATGTCAAGACTATGATGACTATAATACCAGATAACTTATTTTGCTGTGCCAACTAACATGCTAAATCACATGTAAAGTACTTAATTATAATTTCAACTGTGTTGAGTTATTTGATATTACCTTTAAAGTTAATATATTTTAAATGTGCTAAATTGTAACATCATCATTACAAATGTGTAATTGCAAATATATTTAAATACCTGCCAGTATTTGGTAATATTTACACGTTAAATTGAATTGGAATGGGGAGAAGCCTCCTATTTGAAATCAGTTGTCAATAATATATTCAAAAGACTTTACTGAAGTTCTTGAGGCCATTATCAGTTGTTTTGTCAGCAGGGAGTGTGAGAATGAAGTGGACAGACTGAGACTCCAGCAGTGCTCTGCTATCGATTTCCCTGCTAGGAAGCACGACTCTACTTGAGGCAGACGAGTCTCTCTTTCAGCAGAAATGATGTTAAAGGACAATGTTATTGATTTCCGTTGGTCCAGGTAACTTGTGAAGAGCTGACAGAGACAGCAGAAATGAAAGAGCCAGTGTTTATGTTTTTATTTGTTCAATCTCAAGTGCCATCCAAATGTGTTTCTGTAATTATATTCTCAGGAAACGATGCCGTAATGTGGGTTTACCAACGCTTGATTCGGAAGCTTTTACACCAGTGTCTTGCACAGATAAATTTGTTTTGGGATTATGAAAATGTACAAAAAATAGTATGTATGTTTTTAGAAAAATATTAAGCAGCACAACTGTTTTCAACATTTATAATAAGAGATGTTTCCTGAGCAGCAAATTAGCATATTATACTGATTTCTGAAGGATCGTGTGACACTGAAGACTGGAGTAATGATGCTGAAAATTCAGCTTTAACATCAGGAATAAATTACATCTTAAAATATATTCAAATAGAAATTGGCTCAATTAAATTGTATGTCACAATATTATTTTTACTGCATTTTTATCAATTAATTGCAGCCTTGGTGAGCAAAAGAAACTTCATTAAAAAACATTATAAAAGCTTGCCGACCCAAAGAGTAACATACAATATCAACATATTGGAACATAAACTGTGTTTCACTTATATTTCATAATTGTTGGCGTTTGATGATAAACAAAACCAAAAACAAGTACAATTCATGAAGATTTGTGTGAATCTTTATGCACATGCATAAAAGGATTACTTTTTAAAATGTTATCTTTTTTCTAACAATATCTTTTGCAATATTCTTGGAATGTATTATTTTTCTATATTTAGGTCTGAAAAAAAAGAAAAGAAGTAAAAAACTTTAAATATGATATCAGAAAGCTCAAGCTGCATTTAAATGGGAAAATGTTCCAGCAGAACAGGGTTGAATGTGCAAGGACAAAGACAAAATCTGCATTAACATAGGGCTTGTTAGAAAAATCAACAATGTTGTAAACATGCAATAAATGTTTCATTTGACTCCTTTTTGTATTACACACTAAACTGGTAAATCTATTAAATAATATGGTTTGTGCTGTGAATTATATACACATCTAGAGTATACAGTTGGGTCATGGAGAAACACATTGGGCACAAAATGGCAAATGATTTCCTCAGTATGGTTTATGAAAATAATAAACATCAGACTAGTTTTTAAAACATTGTGTTTAAGATATTTTCTTTATAATCTGATGAGATGTCCTCTATTTTTGATTGCTTTGTACAAGCAGCCAACAAATGCCTGTGAGCATAATGAAGGTCTACAATTTATAAACCACAGGCACCTATTCATTAATAGCAGAGCGGTTTAGGCACTTCTGCTCCTGAACAATGTGAACACAGCAAGTGGGGAAGTTATACAGGCACTCGTCCAATCACAGATCACAGATGTGTTACTAAAGAATGCAGTGTCCCGCTGTGTGTTTGGACTGCAGAACAGGCCTATCATAATGGTGTGGCAATGCTTGGTGGAATTTCCTTTCAGCCAGCTGCTCAAAATCAGTGATTATTCCAGAGTTACTGAGGGAAATTAGACTCAATCTGCATTCTAATTGCACTTTAAGTGTAGCAGCGACCCACGGGACCTCTTGATAAACGGGAAGGTGGAGAGCTTCTTTCATCAGGTCCAATATCTCTTTTCCTTGCTTTTCTTTTAAAGTCACAGTATTTGACATTTTCCAGTGCGAATTACAGATATAATGCTATACATATGATATTGTATCTTAAAAATCAACACTTTGATATTGTACACACTACCATTGCACAATATCATTTATTTGAACAAAAACACAGTAAAAACACTAATATAGTGAAATATTAAAATAACTTTTCTATTTGAATATATTGTAAAATGTAATTTATTTCCGTCGTGCAAAGCTGAATTTTCAGCATAATTACTCATCTTTAGTGTTACATGATCATTCTCATATGTGACCCTGGACCACAAAACCAGTCATAAGGGTACATTTTCTGAAATTGAGTTGGTTTGTGGTTTGTTAGGACAGGACAATATTTGGCCGAGATACAACTATTTGAAAATCTGGAATCTGAGGGTGCAAAAAAATCTAAATATTGAGAAAATTGCCTTTAAAGTTGTCCAAATGAAGTTCTTAGCAATGCATATTACTAAGCAAAAATTAAGTTTTGATATATTTACTGTAGGAAATTTACTAAATATCTTCATGGAACATGATATTTACTTAATATCCTAATGATTTTTGGCATAAAAGAAAAATCGATAATTTTGACCCATACAATGTATTGTTGGCTATTGCTACAAATATACCCCAACGACTTAACACTGCTTTTGTGCTCCAGGGTCACATATGATGATTTGCTGCTCAAGAAACATTTATTATCATCATCAATGTTGAAAACAATTCTGCTGCTACATATTTTTGTTGAAATATATAATGTATATATATATATAATATTTTTTCTATGTTTGACCCCATTTGTAATGCCTGTTCAAAAATGTATTATGTTAACGCAATATCTTTTAAATAATCAATAGCGTTTTTAGTTATTCTTGAGTGGTAGCAAAGCTAGCAGACTCACTGGCTATAGCTACTGATGGTAGGCTATACTAAGCTACAAAGCTAATTGGCTATTTGTTAGGCTTTGTTAGGTATCTTTATGGTACGCTAGCAGGCTAATCAACTAGTGCTATGCAAAACTAGTCGCTAAACCAGTTGGTAACACTTTAGTAAAGGGACCAATTCTCACTATTAACTAGTTGCTTATTAGCATGCCTACTGTTTATTAGTACTTATATAACACATGTTCTGCATGACCATATTCTACATCCTTAATCCTCAATACCTAAACCTAACAACTACCTTACTAACTATTAATCCGACTCTCTGTGGTCATTAAAAATCCCAGGATATTTTTCGAAAAGAGTAGAGGTGTGACCTTGGCATCCTGGCCAAATCTGCCCATTGGCCTCTGATCATCATGGCCTCCTAACAATCCCCATATCTGCTGATTGGCTTCATCACTCTGTCTCTTCTCCACCAGTAAGCTGGTGTGTGGTGGGTGTTCTGGCGGGCTATGGGTGCCGTCGCATCATCCAGGTGGATGCTGCACACTGGTGGTGGATGAGGAGATACCCCCTGACAATGTAAAGCTCTTTGAGTGCCTAGAAAAGCGCTATATAAATGTAATGAATTATTATTATTATTATTGTTAATAATAATTAGGGTTTTATTGAGGCAAAAGTCGTAGATAATGGTTTGTTAATAGCGAGAATTGGACCTTAAAATAAAGTGTGACCAACCAGTTGTGAGGTAACTAAAAAAAAACAGAACAACATTCATAGCTTCCATATGTAATATACAGTCATGGCCAAAAGTTTTGGCAGTGGCATACATTTTGTGTTGTGCAAATTTGTGGTGTTCATTCACATTGTTTCTAGATTATTGTGTAGAGTGATCAGATGCATTTTAAATAATTGCTAAAAAGCTTCATTGGCCAAAAAATGAAATTTTCACAAAAAAAAAACAAAACAAATTTCACAGTTTGACACAAAATGACCAGCTAGCATTAATTGACTAATCACATCAGCAGCACATGTGAAAGTGTGAATGAGTACTAGTCAGGTTAATATACTAATTAGACTGTAAGAGCAGACTGACTGCTGTAAAAGGAGGGAAGAAGCGCTTCCAAACATTGTGTTCTTGTTAGCAATGGTTACCTCTTCTCTCCAAGAAAAACCTCAAGGACAGACTGAAATTCTGCAGGAAGTACAAGGATTGGACAGCAGAAGACTGGTGCAAAGTTATTTTCTCTAATGAAGCTCCCTTCCGACTGTTTGGGACATCTGGAAAATCGATTGTTTGAAGAAGACAAGGTGAAAGCTACCATGAGTCCTGTGTTGTGCCAACAGTGAAGCATCCTGAGACCATCCACGCTTTTCCACTATTGGGCCAAACGGTTCTCTTTGCTTAACCGTTCCATTCCATGCCGATCCGGGCCAGACAGCACGGATACGGTTTCATTTTCCACTGTAGTGCCGGAGCTCTTTGGAATGTAATACAAATGCTCAGTCGTTGCCTTGGTAACGCAAGTGTAATGTAAACAGCGATATGGACGATGATCAGATATTTCTGCTTTTGGGACTCCTTTTTTTCCGTTAAATAACAGAAAAAATGACAACTCTTGACGCGAAAAATAAAATAAACAGAATAAGCGTAATAACCGCAAATGTTTCCTCCACAGACCAAACTGTCTCAGACATTTTTTATTTTTTTATATTGAACGTAGCGTAGCTGTTTACATTGCTACAGAGTGGTGACGTCACGCACACGCACTCTACCAGCATGGCTCAGCACGGTTGTCTAATCTTGCCGAGAATGGTTTGTAATCGTGCCGCGCCATACCAGGCTCACATGGAAATACAACTGGAACCGTAAGTTGCCTGACAGTTCTTAGAACCGTTCGGCCCGATAGTGGAAAAGCGGCTCATGTGTGGGGTTGCTTTTCAACCAAGGGAGCGGGCTCTCTCATAATTCTGCCCAAAACACTGCTGTGAATAAAGAATGGTATCAAAACGTTCTTGCAAGAGCGACTTCTTCCAACGATCTATGAGCAGTTTGGTGATTATCTGTGCATTTTCCAGCACGATGGAGCACCATGTCACAAAGCAAGAGTGATAAAGAAGTGGCTCGAAGATCATTACATTGAAATTTTGGATCCGTGGCCAGGCAACTCCCCGGATCTCAATCCCATAGAGAACCTGTGGTCAGTCCTCGAAAGGCGAGGGGACAAGCAGAAGCCCACAAATTGTGATCAACTCCGAGAACTAATAAGGCAAGAATGGATCGCCATCAGTCAGGGTTTGGCCCAGAAGCTAATATCCAGCATGCCAGAGCGAATTGCAGAGGTTATGAAGAACAAGGGTCAACACTGTAAATATTGACTCATTATATTTTTTTGACAATAAAAGCCTTTAAAACTTATGATATGCTTATCATTGTTTTTCAATATACCATAGAAACATGTGGGAAAAAAATCTACAAATACTGAAACAGCAAACTTTGCAAAACACAAAATTTATGTCACTGCCAAAACTTTTGACCATGACTGTAATTTATACAGTTATTAAAACACATAACAAAAGCGATTTACACTCACTGGCCACTTTACTCATTAACGCAAATATCTATACAGCCAATCACATGACAGCAAATCAATGCATTTGGGCATGTAGACATGGTCAAGATGATCTGCTAAAGTTCAAACCAAGCATCAGAATGGAGAAGAAAGGTGATTTAAGTGACTTTGAACGTGGCATGGTTGTAGATGCCAGATCTGCTGATCTGCTGGGATTTTCACACATGTCCATCTCTAGGGTTTATAGAGAATGGACTGAAAAAGAGAAAATATCCAGAGAGCGGCAGTTCTGTGGGTGCAAATACCTTGTTGACACCAGAGGTCAGAGGAGAATGGCCAGATAAAAAGGCAAGAGTAACTCAAATAAATACTCAATACAACCATGGTGTGTAGAAGAGCATCTCTGAATTCACAACATCTCAAACCTTGAGGCAGATGGGCTACAGCAGCAGAAGACACAACAGGTGCCACTGCTGTCAGCTAAGAACAGGAAACTGAGGCTACAGTTCACACAGGATCACCAAAATACAACAGAAGATTGGAAAAAGGTTGCATGCAACATTTAGATGGTATAGGGTCAGAATTTGGTGTTCCACTGGCGACTGTCTGCGGATCCCAGCTGCGAATCTGGCCGCTGTTCAAAATCCTGCCGCACCACAGAGCGCCACTCACATAGTTTTCCATTAAATTATATTATATCTGTCCCAAATTATTTTTTAATGTAGATAATGACGTCACCCTTGGCTGGAAGATTGTGTATTGCACATTTTTCAGCGAAGCATTTGCCTTTCTGTGGCGCTAATAAAGTCTGTGCATCATATAGGTCTAGACTACAACAGATCGCACGCTCTCATTCCGTTTGCTCTGTTTTTTCAGTCACCGAACTTTAAACTCGTTGACACCACTTGCTCATTCTTCAAATTAACTTTTAACTGTTTGGAGCATAGATTAAAGGTTTTGGATTGGCATTTTAGACTGGATGCAATGCGTCCCGTGTCCGACTGCCTTTCAGAAATGCAACAAGAAGACAGTGAAAGTGACTGATATCACCAAAATAAAACAGCTAAATTTAGGCCAAATGAAAATCCTCATAACAAATGCATCATCACACAATCGGTCTGAGCACAAAACCAACAAATGTAATTTGTGTTTAATGTAAGCCAGCACATCATGACAGCGCTCACAGCAAAACAAATTAGCGATAGATATTTCATGACAAACAAGCATGATTTATATTGGCACAGCAGCCCAGTAAATGTCCTCACTTACGTTATTTGCGGCTTCCATCATGACATGAATAATAGCTAATTCACAAGTTCAAACTTACATATAATAAACAGAGAAAAGGTTATGCGTATTTGGCATGCTGTCCGAGGGGAGGGCTCCGAACTCAGAATTTTGGTCCGAACCCAGAGTACCCTTTTGTGTTAATTAGGCTAATTATCTAAACGTGCTCCTCCCAAACTTTTTTAATAGATCATCATTTAGTTTATCAGCGTATATATATATATTTTCCAGAGATCCCCACAGCGGACGGAACATAGCGGAAAGATGTGATTGGTCAGTTTTTTTGTCGTTTGAAATTACGCTCCCACTGATTTACTATTGCTTGGCCCTCTGTAAGCATGGCAACACTATCATGTCGAATGTTTTCTTTACAAATCCTTGTTTTGTACTTCTAATTCATGACTGGTGTTTTGTTTTGCTCTCTCGTCGAACTATCCCTTTAAGGCAGTTTTGAAACCAAAATGGATTTGATGTGTATGTGTTGAGAAACTGTCATGGAATTAAACTCTCTTTAAGTACACTTAAGTAGACTTTTATTTCAGATATATTAAATGCAAGTTTAAAAAAATATATTTATATATAATATATATATATATTTTTTTTTTCATACTTCATACTTTTCACACTAAAAGTGCACATTCAGTAAAGTTACCCTTACCAAAATGAAGTATACTTCAAGTTTGTTTTATTAAGTATACTTAAGTTCAAGTATATTTTTAAGTATACTTTATGTAGTAAGTATACAAATATCAGTGAACTAGTAGTATACTTGTAAGTGTACTATTTCAATACTCCTTGGGACTAAATTGGCCCACTTTCTAGTATATAAAAGTATACTTTTGAGTATACTTTAAGTATAACAGTAGTAAACTTTGAGTACACAACTAGTTTACAACTATGTTTTTAGTTTGTACTGCAACTGTACTAAAAGTGAACTCATAGGTATACTTATAGTTTACTAATTAAATACTTGTAGTAGCATTTTTAGTACACTTTGAAGTATATAGTCTCAGTAAACTACTAGTTTAGTAGTTTTATACTGCAAGTATACTCGTAAGTTTTTTTTAAGTGAACTTTACATCATACTGTCCCTATTTAGGTATTAATTTGTATATATTTTGTTATATAAATATCTGAATATACAAAACATCAAAAGAGCAGGGTTTCTGCTTGTAAACAAAAACATTTTATTCTAGCTTCATGCATTCTTTTTT